CCTCATCCCTCATTCCCAACCCTCCTTATCCTTCATCCCCAACCCTTCCCACCCCCGACCCCCGTCATCCCCCGTGCTCGACCTCTCCACCCCCACCCCTAAACTCCTTACTCCCAACTTTGCCCCGTATCTCCCGAAACAACCCAATCCCATTAGCACGGGTGTGTTTTACAAAAACCACGCACTTGTCCCGACTGCCAACTCCGAGCAGCCCATAGTTGGGACATAATATTTGGCGATAGACTCACATCGCCATGTTTGGTATGGCTTGGTGCGGCTGTCACCGAGGCTGGACCTAGTCGAGAATGTGGCAATGAGTGGATTCTCGACTATCTGCTGACCAGTGATGCAGACAGTACTTTCTCGCTAAGCGTACATAAGACACTAGGGCACTGATTCCTGAACCTTCATAATGTGCGGTAAAGACAGGTTCAGGCTGTATTCGACTTTGTTCGAATTATCCAAGAAAATTCACACCTGTAGTGTTAATGGCGATTTCTTGAAATGTTGCGCACAGGCACTTTTTTTTCAAAACTCTAGTTGACATTGATTCTAAACAGCAATAGTTTTTGTGTGACTATAGACTGAGATGCGGAAGTTGATTTTATGTTAGGGGACAGCGCATGGGTCTAAAATATTTTCAGCTACTTGCACATATGCGTATAGCTAGAAATATTTACTGTATAAATATATTAAATACAGCAAATACGACATTATAAAATCATACATGGTAAAATATACAATATGTGCAGTATATTTTTTATTTCATCAATTTTCATCTTGTGCCCTGATGCGCTTCGCTGTTTAAAGTATAGGTGAGCTTCAGATTTACAATATTTTTTTTTTTTTTTACAATTTTGCAGCGCTGTCGCTTTGGAAAATTCGTCCGTTGAAAAATCTGAGTGACAGTTGTATCCGTTTTTCGATCTGCGCAGTGAATAGCGAGGTGCACAAAACTTGTGAATTTGTTAGCGTGCCTTCTCGCAATTTGCGACAGTTCTGAAGGATGGAGGAAGTGGAGTCGTCATCGGAGGAGTTCCCTGCAAAGGTTAACTCGAAATCCACTAAAAAAGTTTTGAAATTTTACTGAGTCGCAGTAAAATCTTAGCTTCGGGTATCGTTCACTGTGAACTACTGGTGTGGTGCTTTGCCCAAACACTATTAACTCCAATTTTCTCTCATTTTCCTTTGCTTTTCTTCTCATCCCCGTTTTCTGGGGCTTTTCTCGGCCACGTTTTTTACGTTGTCCTTTCGGTATTTCCCTCTTACCTGCGCTTCTTGCGAGAACATTATCCAGCCAATTTGGTGCCTTGGAAAGGGCCTTTGTGCCTTTTTGATTTTTTTTTTTAAATCATGTGTTAAAGTCCGATAATTGCTACATTTTTATTCCAGAAGGCGATGGTCGTCGATGAAGTAGAGCAGCTGGATAAAGGACGCGCTGAATTGGCGCAGTATATACTCTATACACAGGTAACTGCTGTTATTTTTTTTTTTTTTTTCACTTTATTTATACTTCACAATTACGCCCATTGTGGTGCTTTTCGAAGGAAAATGGGGCACGCGGATGGCCCTTTCAGCATCTTTTAGCGTTCTTAAAACGATCTTGTGATTCACTGTTCTGAATTTGTTTATTTTGTTCAGTTTCGATTTCCGATTTCTCGCGGCGTCATTTTTGTTAATTTACACTCTTTGAGAGGGGGATGCAACTTGAAAGTCTTTTTTTGAGTTACTTTCCTCCATTCTTTACTGTTCTATTAACTGACACTGCCTGGAGGTCGCTCGAGCAATCACAAATCGGTAACGAGGAAAATGAGGGTATGCATGTGGTTTTTACTGTGGTAGAGTGAGATCTCTACTAAATATCAAAATGCATTTTCCCTCATTATTTTGTTTTTGCGTTATTATCAATTACCTGAATGCTCTGAACACAAAACTTTGTCACTTTCCAGTGCCGAGGAAAAGGTTGCATCAAGGAAGCCGAGGTGAGACAGGTGCTTTCGAAAATCCGAGCTGGAATGAAACGATCCCGGTGTATTGACCGAACTGTTGAATATCTCGAGGGATTTTTTGGCATTAAGGTACTTCTTTTTTTTGGCATTAAAGTTGATTTTTATCCTAAATAGCCCCGAGTTCTGGTCCTAATTCTCAGGCCCTCACGGTGCATTTTTGATTGATCCAAAAAATTGCTGGTTAATTACTAGCTTAATTCAAAAATTGCTGGTTAGTGTGCACAAATTAATGTCCTTTGTTACCCACAAGGCGCGTATTTTCGAAACACAAATTATTAATCTGAGCTGTATCTTAACACAACTTTTAAGGTGTCAAAAGTGGAAACATTGCAAGGATTCCGCTTATATATCGGAAATGCATTGGAAACAAACAACGATGAGGCTTATTCTGACATAAAAAATAGGCGATCAGATGAGGTTATGCTAAACATATATTTTTTCACGTTTTTTGTACCTCTGATTTCTCCGAAGATAAAATCCTCCCATATTTTACCCTCTCTAAAAATGGAAGCATTTAAAAGTAGCTCACGAAGGTGCATGTGCCAAAAGCAATCACTCGCCGACAAGACTGTCGTTGAATTTTTTTTTCAAGTATGTTGAGGAAAAATTTGCATGTAGCAGTACCAATTTGCCATCGAAACGAATGAACGAATTGGTGAAGGCTTGGTTTCTCACTGGCTGGCAGAGTTTAACCCTTGACATTTGGCGTGAGAAGAGCGCCATTTGCCAATTACATCAAGCTCCCAAGACTAATGCTTACATCATGTATTGTCCTATACTTCTGTGACTGATTTTATATTCGTTTCGTTTTGTTTAGCGTAATTCGTTTTCAGGAAAAAGCAAAATACGGAGTGCTGATTGCAGTGCTGATGTTTATTTACATGGTGCGTCGTCCAGGAGCGCAGACTTATGCTGTTCCGGAAAAACTGTTACAGAATTTCTTAGTACGTTGCATAAATATAGCTAAATCAATGACTCTCAAGCCTACTTCAGTTTCCGTGTCAGACCTTAAAGAGTGTCAATTTTTCCAT